GGCGTGAACCAAGTGTGGATCGCTTCGGTGTTGATGTTTGATGCCACTTCTGATAGGAGTCGCTCTGTCCGTTCTAGATCTCGCTCTGCAATGTCTACTTCGACGTCCGCGAGGGGAGTTCTGGGGTGTGCTGTCATGCTTGACAGCGATCCCTGTGCGGACGACATGTCTGGCTCAGTATCTGTCAGGTTGTTCAACGCTGAAGTAACCTCAGTAGTCCCCTCATCGACTTTCGTAGTTTTCAAATTCAAATCCGTTTCGAGCACTTCAGTGCTGACTGCGGCTTCTCCAACATTTGACCCCACAGGAGTTGCACTCGTACTACATCCAATACTCGAGAGAGTACTCGGGCTGGTGCTGGGCCTTCTGCTGGAGCGTGCCGGGTCTGGCGACTCGTTGTGCACTCCGGTCTGTACGGTAAGTTCACCAGGTTGCCCTCCGACAGTTGCAGTTGCGCTTGTTCTGGTGTGCGCGGTTCGCTTGGCGCATGTCGTTCCTGTAGTCCATCAGCCAAGAACTCAGAAGTCGTCAAATTCAAGCACCCTGTTGCACTTAGAAATCGAATACTTGATTATGGCCTCAATGGGGAGTTTAGGTACCCTGTACACCGAATCCGCAAATAAAAAGAGTAAACGACTTGCACGCTCTGCAGGGGGAAGCCGACAAAGTGACCATTTTTGGCATTTCATCGACAGCCATTGTTGTGACCTAAACCCAATCTCCAATCAGTGCCATGCGGGTTTCAGGAATGAACTTTCAGATTTTTGTGAATTACGGGAAAAATCTTGCAAATCGAGAAGATTTGCAGTGTAAACCATTGCAGTTTCCGTCTTACACGTGTGCCTGGATTCAAATTACAATAAAATTGTTGTTCGCCTACTTGTAGAGTGTTGTTCCATTACACATCTCTTTCACTGTTCTATTTAATTGAGCATCCGAATACATACCTTCAGGAAGATTACAATGAGCTAGTATTGAACATCATCCACCTTCGGGTTTCCGAAGTATGCACCCCGAGTCATGTCAAGCAGGTTTGAAGCGTAGTTTTTACTGTTTGGCAAAAGTGATCTACGCTTCCACCCTGAATGGAATCACCCCGGGAAGGTCCTGATCCCTGGAAATATAAGGAACGTGGAGAGCTAAAAGTAAGGAATCTGCGGCGATGGATGTTCTACATCGAGTGAATGCCCTGCAGTTCTTTTCTCCATTACGACCAACTATCAAACGCCATGACTCTGGATGCTGACAGCAAACAGTTGAAATAAAGGCAAGGCTGCTTTGAACATGTTGCAACCAGGCAGTAGTACAGTTACAGTTGTACTACTTCGAAGTACTATCTACCACACTCGAGATCACCCAAAGATAAAGCGATTGAATTCAAAATCAAAAAAATTGTTGGGGATCGTCTGAAGCATATTCAAGCGAGGTACAGTCGGGCTTGATGACTGATCAAAGCCCTCGGGCTGGTCCCTTGGGCTTTGATCAGCCATCAATTCCTCTGTACCTCGCTTGATTATCTACTTGATACCATTGTAGTTGCAAACAAGTAACTACAACAATTGCAGTACAATAGTCATGTAGTTTTTTGAATTAGTTATTTGAAAATGGTGAGCATCTTCATCTTCTTCCCGGTGCGCATGTACACATATTTTTGGAATCTGTACGTGCTCCAAGCCAACTCACCTCTGCTCAAATCGACGGCGATTTATTTCGCGATTTTAGGTCGATCGCCACGGAAAACCACACCAAACGTTGACAAAACTCCACGTTTTTCACTGAAGACGCATTGGATGTCCTGATAAAACGGATGGAAAACCTCGTAATGGCTGATGAAGAAGAAGAAATTTGTCGAATTTCCAAGGCGCACTGCAAAAGGAGTGCAAGAGTTTCCCCAGGGAAAGTAGGCAGGTCGGATTCAGTGATGCTTTTGCTATCGATTGATGTCAGTTCCAGGTGTTCGATTTGTAAGTGCAACAGGGGACTCACTTTGGCACCACTGGCTGATGGACTACTGTGGCGAGTTTGCAATCTGCAGCGATGTTGGGAGCATTTACGACAGGTTGCAGGCTGGCCTTCGTAGTGTACACGAAACAAGTTGTTCGTAGATGTTTTCACATACGACGGAATCTGCATGTTGGGGCGAAGAGAGAATGTGGCGAAGCGGATACCAGTGGCAATGGGGAGCCCTGACTTCGTCTTGACAAATCCATGGCGAAGAGGCCCAACGGCCGATCCAAAGACACCCAGGCTTTCGATAATAACGTCATCCTGGACCCAGGTAGGCACATCGTGAATTTGGATTTCCACGGAATCAGGCACCAGTTGAGTGACGCGCACTTCCACTGACATGAGATGGAAACCGTTTCGGCAAAGTCGTGTCAGAGTGTCTCGGGAATGAAACGTGGCCTTGCAGCTCAAGTTACTGGTCAGCTGCACGGATATCAGGTCGGAGTAGCCATGTTCTATCAGGGCCTCAGCAACTTCGAGGGTTTTCGTGTGCAGTGGAACGTGGAAAGTCCCCGTGTTCCTCTTTAGAACTTTCGGAGAGACCGAACTCCAACTGCGATTTTCACCGGACGTGGGCATTTGGAACGCTCTAACTTTCTACTACCTAATTTTAAACTATCCAGCCCCTACCCTGCTCCAGACCGGCCTGCTGCCGGCTGGCTGCTACAAAACCTGCGAAAAACTACGGAGCTCAAAAAAAAGCTAACTGCACTATACAGTGTAAGTTGGTTGTGGGTTAATCGGAAATGTTCATTTACGGCCTCCTCATGACTATAATGTGTGCAGGTCTTTGCCCGAGGGTGTTGTGTCTATTGTTCTCAAAATCGGTCACACTCCCATTGCTTGGTATATTCTTGAGAGACGCCATCATACCAGAATCTTTCACCTTAGTGGGTCCAGACGGAACAATGATTACTATGATCCATCCATTACACGTATGAAGGGTTAGTATGTCGAATTACTAAAACTCGGAACGACTTCGCAAGGAGTATACAGGTGGACTTCAGGCGCATGAGCTGAAAAAAGAAAAGTATTTCGAGCTACATGTATATTGTATTTTACATTGCTGCAGACTAGGGCAGCGCAGGCTCCATCCTCGTGAATAGTAGGCTGTGCATACAGAACATCGAGCATTCCAGATGTGTATACAGGATTTCCATACAAGAACCCTCACGTAGGGTTTAGGTGCACTAGCTGCACAAACTGGTTTCGCGAGCAAAGAACAGAAGCACGGAAGCTTAGACATCTGCATGCCTTCCTCCTCCTTTTATTTCTTGCGCCACTTTATGTCAACATGTCGGAGACGACGTGAGTGCCCTTCAATTTGTAAGATTTGTAACTCGTAACATAAAAAATTCTGTGGACAAAAACAAACAGCTACTGAGTAGCAGCTGCACTGGGCAGCAGTGATGGTGAGATACCAGGGGCTCCACCGATCAAAGGTCTCGGCTTCAATGCCACAAGCACGCACCAGGAAAAAGAAACAGAAATGTAAAGCGAAGCTAGATCTAGCTATGGGGAAGTAGAATGGGTAAAAGTGCCGGTTGGTGTTTAGAAAAATATAAACAAGATAAAAAGAGATTGTAAATTATCAGTGTTTGGACTGATGTACCATGTACATGTACACGTATGCAAAACAAAGCTGAGCACTTTGAGCAAGGCCAGGTACGCGGATTAGCGGGTCGGGCAAGCGACGAGCTCGAAAATTACAGGGAATATGTTGCCCAGTACCAGTTGCTGTCTCTCAGGTGTCGGTAGACCTTTGTCTTGAATGACTGATAACGTGTTTTGTGCGGGCGCTGCGACAGCAGCCTGTCAGGAAGGGAGTTCCATGCGCCTTTACAGCAGTACGGGAACGACCGCTTCACAACGGATGGAGCTGAGACAGTGAGCGTGTCTGACAGTTGATAGGCGTGGCTAGTGGCACTATTGTGCTCGTTCCTGGTTCTGGGGTTGGCTGGAGAAACACGATGCGGTGGCAATACAGCAAGTAGCTGAGGAGGACCAGTGATGAAATGCAATTTGTACATGCACGAGAGAGCAGCAGCAGTCCGGCGGACAGCCAGACTGAGGAGAATTGCACCAGGGCCAATGATGCGCAGTGCGCGGCGTTGAACATTATCCAGACGTTGGATGTGGCTGGCTGGCGCGCCCATCCACACAAGTGGGGCATACTCCATCAGGGGCCTCACGAATGCCTTGTAGACAGTCGTTCGGCCAGCTGGCGTTAGAATGTGGGCCGCTCGTTGGAGAAAGCCGAGGCACTGCTGGGCGCGGATGGTCACGGTCCTGAGGTGACTAGCGAAGGACAATTTGGAGTCAAATCGAACACAAAGCAGTGATATGCTGGTTTCCTCCAGTACAAGGGTACCACCAAACAGGATTTGGGGTAGGTCTAGGTCAGTGCGTCGGAGGGTTGCAATTAATAGCCTGTGACTTGGTGGGTTCTAAAGACACTTTCCACCGGCAACCCCACTTATGCAGGCGGTTTGTAGATACCTGCAAGGTGTGTGCAGCGTCCCGAGGGCACTGAGCTGAGGATACTAGACTGTATAGTGTGGTATCGCCCCGCGTAGCCCTCAAGCTTAGCATTGCCATCAAGAACATCGGCAGATTCATTCACGTATATTAAAAACAGCGTAGGGCCCAAAATACTGCACTGGGGCACCCCTGCAGAGATTGGGTAGAGAGAAGAAATCTGCCCGCCAACTAAGCACTGGAGTGAACTGCCGTCAAGATAAGACGATAGCCAGCTATGGAGTTTTTTCTTGCCTGTGCTTCCAGCTTGGCGACACTCCGTTGCACGATTCCGCCAGGATAAGTAGAATTGAGATATGTAAAGCGTTGTTTCTTGCGTTACTCTATATCAACATGGCGCAGACGCCGTGAGTGCCATTCCGTTTGCAGAGTGCATGCTAAACTCCGCTTGGTTTGGCCCTCGGCGGATTCAGTTGACGGCAACTTTTCTCCAGATCATTAGACAGTAACACAGTATGAGGTATGTACCACGCATGTGCAGCCGCGTGAATAGCCTGGGTTTCACTGAACCTGCATTGCGAGTACGTTATAAAATTACACATGCCGGATAAAGGCAAAAAAATCCATTTTGAAAGTGGCAAAAGCACAAACTCCAAAATTGACTCTGAATCACCCGGGAGGCATCAGATTAAGGCAGCGACGTGAAATTCTCTTCACTGAAATGTGACCTAAAGCACAAGCCTGGTACCATAGACCAGTTCCGATAACATCACTGCACTTGCATATGTGTACATCTAGCCTCATTCTTACCGTATTATGGCCGTTGATCCAATTTGTACAACGATACATTGATCAGACAATATGAAATGCACTCAAAACGTGTTTATCCGGGCACTGTCCGTAACTTCGAAATGTCCCTAAATCAGAATCACATACGTTTTGACGGGGAGTGGCCATAGATATGGCATATGTCGTCACTGTTTCCACAAAATTGCCAAAAGAGTAGTAACATTTCCACTGAAACTCAAGCAAAGGGTGTCCGGTAGCCTGAAATGCCTGTAACTTTGGGGTCTGGATAACCGAGGTATTAGTTGACATGTATGTCTGTACACTAATGGCAATCATGCAATGTAAATACCAGACAAGTAGTACCATATCCACCAACTGTTGAATTCCACTCTGAATTGTTTTGCTTTGATCTACAGTTGTGACTGTGTTCTACATTCAAACTCATTGAGAACTTTTTCCTGTACTGTTGTTTCTTGCGTGTGCATCCAGCGTGGCAACACTCCGTTGCACGATGCCGCCAGTATAGGTAAACTCGATGTGTGTCAAGCGCTGCTCGCTGCAGGGGCCGACTGTAAAATCAAGAATGTGGTAAAGCACAGTAACATTGAGTGTTATGAACCAGGATAATCCTGTTCTGTGTTTGCACTGTACAATTAACGTACGATAAATCATGTGTTCCCTGACCTTCACCCGATCGAGTGGAATCCTGTCTTAACTGGAAATGTTCATTTACGGCCTCCTCACGACTATAATGTGTGCAGGCCTTTGCCCCAGGGTGTTGTGTCTATTGTTCTCAAAATCGGTCACACTCCCATTGCTTGGTATATTCTTTAGAGACGCCATCATACCAGAATCTTTCACCTGAGCAGGTCCAGACGAAACAATGATTACTATGATCCATCCATTACACGTATGAAGGGTTAGTATGTCGAAGTACTAAAACTCGGAACGACTTCGGGATGAGTCTACAGGTAGACTTCAGGCGCATGAGCTGCAAACAGAAAAATGTATTTCGAGCTACATGTATATTGTATCTTACATTGCTGCAGACTAGGTCAGCGCAGGCTCCATCCTCGTGAATAGTAGGCTGTGCATACAGAACCTTGAGCATTCCAGGTGTGAATACAGGATTTCCATACAAGAACCCTCACGTAGGGTTTAGGTGCACTAGCTGCACAAACTGGTTTCGGGAGCAAAGAACAGAAGCATGAAAGCTAAGACTTCTGCATGCCTTCCTCCTCCTTTTATTTCTTGCGCCACTTTATATCAATATGTTGGACACGACGTGAGTGCCCTTCAATTTGCAGAGTCCATGCTAAACTCCGCTTGGTTTGGCCCTTGGCGGATTCCGTTGACGGCAGCTTTTTTCCCGATCATAAGACAGTAACACCGTATGAGGTATGTACTACGAATGTGCAGCCGCGTGAATAGGCTGGGTTTCACTGAACCTGCATTAGGAGTACGATATCAAATTATACATGGAAGATAAAAGGCAAAAAAATAAATTTTGAAAGTGTCAGAAGCACAAACCCCAAAATTGCCGCTGAATCACCCGGGAGAGCTCAGATTAAGGCAGCGACGAACAATTCTCTTCACTGAAATGCGACTTAAAGCGCAAAACTGGTACCATGGACCAGTTCCGATCACATCACTGCACTTGCATATGTGTACGTCTAGCCGCATTCGTACCGCATCATGGGCGTTGATCCAATTTGTACAACGACACAATGATCCGACAATATGAAATACACTCATAACTTGTTTATCCGGGCACTGCCCGTAATTTCGAAATGTCCGTTACTCCGAATCACATACATTTTAACGGGGTATGGCCATTGATATGGCATATGACGTCACTATTTCCACAAAATTGCCAAAAGAGTAGTAACATTTCCACTTAAACTCACCCAAAGGGTGCCCGGTAGCCTGAAATGCCCGTAACTTTGGGGTCTGGATAACCGAGGTATAAGTGTACATGTATATCTGTACACTAATGGCAATCATGCAATGTAAATACCAGACAAGTAGTACCATATCCACCAACTGTTGAATTCCACTCTGAATTGTTTTGCTTTAGTCTACAGTTGTGATTGTGATCTACAATCAAACTCATTGAGAACTTTTTCCTGTACTGTTGTTTCTTGCCTGTGCTACCAGTGGGGCGATACTCCGTTGCACGATGCCGCAAATAGTGGTAAACTTGATGTGTCTCAAGCGCTGCTCGCTGCAGGGGTGGACTGCAACATCAAGAATGTGGTAAAGCACAGTGACATTGAGTGTCGTGAACCAGGATGATCCTGTTCTGTGTTTGCACTGTACAATTAACGTGCAAACAATCATCTGTTCCTTGACCTTTATCCGAGTGGAATCCTGTCCTAACCCGAAAATTCTCATGTACTGCCTCCTCACCCCATCAATGTGTGCAAGTCTTTGCCCCAGGGTGTTGTGTCTATTGTTATCAAAATCGGTCACGCTCCCATTGCTTGGTATAGTGTAGAGAGACGCCATCATGCCAGAATCTTTCACCTCAGCAGGTCCAGACAGAACAATAATTATTATGTTCCATCCATTACACGTATGAGGGGCTAGTATGTCGAAGTACAAAAACTCGGAACGACTGCAGGAGGAGCTTACAGGAGAACTTCTGGAGCATGAGCTGGAAACAGAAAGGTATTCCGACATGTATTATTGTATCTTACATTGCCACAGGCTAGTGCAGCACAGACTCCATCCTCGTGGATAGTAGCAAGAGTGCATAAACAAGAGTATGCACCTGTGGTTATGGGTCAGTACGCGGCTCTCTGCCTTTATTACGTAACTTACCTTCACCACGCTCTGAAAGTATGCACTCAAACCCAAACAGTGAGCAAGTACAGTTGTGAGTGTTGAAATCCGAACTAATAAAGTGCAAAGCTGGTACCGTGGACCAGTTCCGATTACATCACTACACTTGCATATGTGCATGTCTAGCCGCATTCCTACCACATCCTGGGCATTGATCCAATTTGTATAGCACCACACTGATAAGAAAATGACATACATGTATGTCTGTACACTAATGGCAATCATGCAATGTAAATACTGTCTTGTACATGGAAATCCAGGCTAGAGAATGAGAAGAAATGAACTTCGAATTACGAGTAGAGCAACTCCATCTCACTTCGAAATAAGCGCTCGAAGGACATAGTCACTGTACTGTAAACTGTTCTTCTGTACGAAGACAGAGTTCGAATTATCCAGCGGGTGCACTTTTCGTACTTCGAATTATGCATTCGAATTTAACTTGAAGTGACTTGCAGAAGATCGGTACGACGAAAAAGTTCGAATTACACGGAATGCTAGAATTATACCGTATTCTAATTAGAGGGAGTCTACCTGTACAAGAACTTGGAATGACTTCGGGAGGAGTAGAAAGGAGAACTTCGGGTGCATGATCTGGAAACCGAAAAGCAAAAAGTTGCACAAACTTGTTTCGAGAGCAAAGCACAAAACCAGGGAAGTTAGAGAGCATCTCATAAGTTCGTATTTATTTTGCAAACGTAACGCATTTCGAATAGACTTTACCCCCCCCTACCTCCCCCCTCTATTCGAAAGTCTTATCGCACATTTTCTGTGTTTATCTACTGTACACGTCCATGCGGCCCAATGCTATGGTATGCTTATGTACATGATTGTACATGTACATGTGCATGGATATGAATGTTTTGCTAGAGCGGTCGTGAATGGCATGCAGTAGTACCGCATTTACTGAGTACAAGTACAATCAATGACATGTACACGCACATAAACATAGTTCCTCCACAACAACTGTACTGCTGTAAACGCTGGCCAGGCACATGTACACGGTTTGATCAGGCTGGTGTGACATTTGACACCTCTAAATAGCCTGCATGCATGTTGTGCAAGGGTTAACTGATCTGCAAACACAGGTAGATCTCCACCAAAACACACTCATTTGCTGCAGGGATCTAGCACGGTAGTAGATTGTACAGTTCCAGAAAAATGTGCCAACAGTCTTTTTTCTATTCGAAATGCGAAATGTTTAGAAACAAAATGCGAACTTATGAGATGCTCCCTTAGGACTTCTGCAAGTTGCGTTTCTCATTTTGTTCCTTGCGCTGCTCTATATCAACATATTAGAGACGTTTGAGTATCCGACATGTTGACAGGGTGCATGGGCAACTCTGCTCGGTTTTGGCCCACGGCTGATTCAGTTGACGTGACTTTTCTGGAAATCATAAGTAATACCATACTAGACATGTACTACAAATCTGTGGACGTATGAACTTGGCCAGATTTCACTCTACAGTAAAACCTGGTGTAAGCGACCTCTGCTTTTAGCCACCATCTGCTTTTAACCAGCATTTTTCCATGCATGGACAGTTCTACAAGGAAACTGTACCTGCCTTGCGTGACTAGCGACCGTCTAATAGTGTACCAAATGCCATATTGGACCTGCCCACAGCGACCAAAAAAATGCCAGACCCACCAGGACGCAAACCCAATGAAAATACTGTCTTGGACATGGAAATCCAGTCGAATGACCGGGACCGGCGCTCTAAATGTGTACAGAACGTTGCATGCAGTGCACATGTTTATCCGATATGACCAGTGCACTGCATGTGTGTACCGTAGACTACGCATACCGAATCAAGGCTGCATGGAAAGCGCCCAGGGGCCGCTAGACGTGCAACCGGATTTCCATGTCCACGGCAGTACCAGACAAGTAGTACCATATCAACCAACTGTTGAATTCCACTCTGCATTGTTTTGCTTCCATCCACAATTGTGATTGCGATCTACACTCCATCTATTACACGTATTAGCTGCTAGTGTAGTATCCCTGCTTTACAGTTAACGCATGACTAGTACTTTGCATGACTCTTATAATTACTCTTGTTACTACTTTCGGACAAGTCCTACATCATGTACCTCACAAGTCACATATGATTTGATTACATCAGGAGTACCGCGCTTCTAGAAGATCATAGATTCCATGCATGCTGCTGTAATCACTTCTAGTATCACTTCCTTTTAGTTACTAGTTGGTACAGTCATGACTCATGTACATGTATGTCATGTTGTTCCGGACTATTCCAGACCTTCCACGTCATAATGCCCTATGAGTAATGTTGCTGACTAAATTGCATAATATAGATATCTCATCTTCTAGAACACCTCGCTTAGTCATTATGTTAATGTTACGCAATGCTCACTTCAGCTACCTGTATAGCAATGATGATCTAGGTTTACTTCTCCACTATTCTAGAACTTGTACTAGAAGGATGATTTCGTAATCACTGCAATGGCTTACTAACCTTACTTTCCTACCGCCGCCTGCTTTGCTATACATACTTTGCTTGCCTATAAAAGCTGCTGTCTTTTCTGCCACCATCAGATTAGCTCAGATTAGATTAGAGCTGAGAGCAGAGATCAGAGAGAGAGCAAGTTCACTTTCACTTTGATATAAGATAACCTCCAGGCCGTGCCGGAGTAAGTTCTGATACGTTACTGTAGTTGACTGACTGTGGGTAGTAGCCTCCTAGCCTCGCCGACGCACGTTACATTGGTGGCAGCGGTGGGATTGCCTTAGATCACGCACGTTACATTGATGGCAGCGGTGGTTCAATTTTATAATTGCTAGATTCGAACCCATCTAGTATCTGTACTGCAATGATGGCAGCCGCGCTACAGAATTGATGGCAGCGGTAAATTGTTTTATTGGTGTAACCGGTACCAGCATGGGCCAACCTGATGCGTCAGTCGCCGCTACTCCTTCGCCCGCCATGTCTCCCCCTAGCCCGAAATGATGACGGACAGCGTCTCTACCGATCAAGCTCCATGTCCAACGTAAGCTAATTCTAGGTATGGCATTCTCTTTCCTGTCTTCCTTCAGTCTTCCTATTCTCTTCAGTCTTCCTTTATGCGAGTGAGTGAATCCAGTTTAGTCCGGTAGGCGTCCGATCATGGTGAGCCACGGTCTACCTAGCTAACCTGGGACAATGTGTGTGAGAATGCCCTTGTGTACTCAGTTCGGCTTGGAACTGCGATTTGGCTGGCAGGTTGTGCCAGGGTTGTGCAGCAAGTGAACTGTGGTTTTTCGGTCCTGTTTGGAGGACAATATTCCCTTTTTGACCCCGTGAGATGGTGAGAACCTGGTGTGCTTCTATTTTTGATTTGTTATCAGTTCAGTTCTTCTGTCTACTCTAAAACGTTATCATTTCCGATATTATTTGCCATATTCCGGTTGACGCTCTACAAGTAATACGCTATCTACTATGACGTTCACACCGCCTCCTATGATCTGCTGCTGAGCTCGAGCTACTACTACTACTAGTACTGTCAGTTGTCACCCTTTCGTCCGAATATCAAGCACTCTGTTCAAGATTCAAGAATACATGTACGTGAATGCAAGTTAGTTGTCCAGTCCACCTACTGACGGTGCCTTCTAGTTCTAGTGAGTACTGTTCATCATACATCATCGAACTCTCTGTCAAATCACGAGGGCGTGATTTAGTGTAGGAAGGGAGGGTGTAGTATCCCTGCTTTACAGTTAACGCATGACTAGTACTTTGCATGACTCTTATAATTACTCTTGTTACTACTTTCGGACAAGTCCTACATCATGTACCTCACAAGTCACATATGATTTGATTACATCAGGAGTACCGCGCTTCTAGAAGATCATAGATTCCATGCATGCTGCTGTAATCACTTCTAGTATCACTTCCTTTTAGTTACTAGTTGGTACAGTCATGACTCATGTACATGTATGTCATGTTGTTCCGGACTATTCCAGACCTTCCACGTCATAATGCCCTATGAGTAATGTTGCTGACTAAATTGCATAATATAGATATCTCATCTTCTAGAACACCTCGCTTAGTCATTATGTTAATGTTACGCAATGCTCACTTCAGCTACCTGTATAGCAATGATGATCTAGGTTTACTTCTCCACTATTCTAGAACTTGTACTAGAAGGATGATTTCGTAATCACTGCAATGGCTTACTAACCTTACTTTCCTACCGCCGCCTGCTTTGCTATACATACTTTGCTTGCCTATAAAAGCTGCTGTCTTTTCTGCCACCATCAGATTAGCTCAGATTAGATTAGAGCTGAGAGCAGAGATCAGAGAGAGAGCAAGTTCACTTTCACTTTGATATAAGATAACCTCCAGGCCGTGCCGGAGTAAGTTCTGATACGTTACTGTAGTTGACTGACTGTGGGTAGTAGCCTCCTAGCCTCGCCGACG